CGGCAGAAGAGGCTGGCGGTGGCGCAGTTTTCCCGCGGTTTGGGCGGCGGGAAGGGGGAGGGGAGGCGAGCCGAGCCCCAAGCCGGAGCGGTAGCCGGCGGCCCGTCGTTACTTGCCGCGCCCCGGCGGGCGCTCAGGAACGGCGGGGCCTCCACGGGGCGCCGGCCGCCATGCCGCCCAAAACCCCCCGCAGGACGGGAGCCGCCGCCAGAAGCCAACGAGCCAGCCCCGACAGCGGCTCCGCGCCGCCGCTCGTCGCCGCCCGGTAAGCGCCGCCCGGGTTGGGCTGGGCTGGGCTGGGCTGGGCTGGGGGTGTCTCTAGGGCTGCCCCCGTAGCTGGGGGTGGCTGGCCCGGGGGTCCGGGTCGTGCCTCCTCCCGGGGTCCCATGGGGGGTGTGTGCGGGGGTGTCGCTCCGGGGCAGCGGCCGGTTGTTGCCCCTCCCTCCCCCTCCCGGTAGCGGTGCGGTGCCCGGAGCCCCCGCTGGAGATGTCTGCCGTTTCTCCTAGGCTGGAAATCGGCGAGGCGGAGTTCGTCGCTCTCTGCGATGCTCTGAGAGCCCCGGACGGCGTGAGGGAGAGAGCGTGGAAGACCTACGAGAGCCTGTCGGCTGCCGACGGAGCTCCGGTGAGTACCTGCTGCCCGTGACTCCTCCCGCTGCCGCCGTGTCTGTCCGCTGCCCGAGCCCCAATAGCAATAAAGCTGTAACTTTGCTGGACCGGGAACCAGCACAAACCTTGCTTCCGAGACTTGAATGGCTTTCTTCTTCCCAACCGCAGCTAGACTGAGCTCAGATGTTTCCCTCTGCATCTCTATAAACTGGTTTCTATACATCTCCCTCTTCCATTAATGTTCTCCGGTAAAGGTATGGACTCGGGAATTCTTTTAGGTGGCTGCTAAATGACAGTAGAAACAATGCCATGTGATCCGCTGAGCCTTCAAACCACAAGTTATTTCAAATATGCCTGAGTCAGCTTTATACGGGTCATCTCATCGTGTGTTTCTGTTTCTGCCCGCTGTATCCATCTCTGTGAGATGGCAGAAAGGGTCTGGAGAAGACTGTAGCAGAGAAAGGGATGTTCGTATGTTAAACTTTTTTTTTTTTTGTCTCTACTGCATTATGTTAATCTGTATGTACTTATTGTTGAGGTATTTCCGGTCAAAGTTAGTCTTTGGGCATGTGTAAACAGATTAAAGTGTTCTGCCCTTTCCTGATTTTTATTTTTTCCCCACCCTTCTTCTCAGTGTATTACTGCTGTCTCAACAAGCTGAAGCTTTATTATATAGATCTGAATTAGATGGAAAACACCTAGCTGTGATATTATTCCTGCTGCGTGGGCTGGCAGCCGTGTATCTGTTGCGACTTCTGCTTATTCTTCTGCAGTCTGAGCTGACGTGCCACAGCTATGCTGTCACTAGTCATACCTTCTTCTCTGTGGTTTTTAAACCCCAGTACGGGTGTACCAGCCCTTGATGCTTTGGAATTTTGCAACACAATACGGTAACAGCATGGGAGGGAGACTGTGTACAGCTCTTTTCTGTAACAGATACAGTTTCTGGTCATGGACGTTCCCAGGGAACACTTACTTAAAAACATAGTTGAGCTCCTGCATATGAACTAAAACAAGAGAAGTCAGTTCTGTTGAGTGAAAAAAAAGCAAGGCAGGTTTCAGTATAATTCTGGAAATTTTGCTCAAGGTGGAATTTTATTTCCATTATTCGTTATTTCATATTTCATTACCTAGCAGTGGCCAGATAAGATACAGGGTGTTTGAAACCCTTCCTTTCAGTATCTGAAGACGTCCTTTACCCCTTCAGAACAGGGCAGTGACTAGATCTTCACTATGACACAGCTACTATTTATTGTTTTGCAATTAAGGGCTATGCCAAGAGCCTTTCAAGGCACAGGAAAAAGTCTGTGTTACGTTGCAGTTGCATCCAAGGCCCTTTCCTCAGACTTTCTGATGTGTCAGCAAGGTGTTCAAGTGAGGAAGCTGGCAAGCATGTGTCTCCACGGGGACCTGGAGGGCACTGGATTTGCTACTTCTATCTGTGACCAGCGCAGGCTTCATTTGAGTGTGAAGTCAAGCAAATTAACAGCCTGGCTGATTGCTGCTTCTCTGTCCAAGTCAAGCCATTATCATGGGGAGCCCAGCTTCTCAGGGTGACTCTGGTTGCAGGGATTTGGGAAGAGGCTGTATTTAAATGCCCACTCCTTTGTCCCCTCTGGTGAAGGTAATGTGTTGGAGGGGCTGTCCCAGGGTTTGTCCTGCAAGCTCCAGCTGTGTATGTTTTAATCAATGTGGTTTAGTGCGAACCTGTTCCGTTCTGAACTGGAGCAGAAGCTGCTTATGTAGCAGCTTTCTGTTCTCAAGCAAAAAGGGAACTAGCAGGACACCACTTGAGACAAATACCTACCGGAACACTTCTGTTTGGCTTGAGGAAGCTTAAATCATCAGACCGCTGATGGAAATAGAGGTAGGTAGCATCTAATGATCCCACTCTAAAGCTATTTACAGAGCATAAAGGCCTGAAACCTTACTTTCCCTGGCACACTGGCCTTGTTCTTTGTGGTTGATCTCAGAATTGTGGCTGCCAAGCCTCTGAGGATGTGGAGGGGACTAACAGTGCTAACTAGGAAGTGGTGTGGCCCAGACATTAGGTACTGTGGTAACCGGCAGAGATCTAGGGTACAAATGTGGGCTTGGACCTAGTCAGAACACCTGCTGTGTCCTTGCTCAATGAATATTTAGTGACTCAAAGTGAAAACATCTATTAGTAGTGTCCTTTTTGGGTCACTTAGGGTACAGAATCACAGAATCACATGGGGTTGGAAGGGACCTCTGGAGATCATCTAGCTCAACCCCCCTGCCAAAGCAGGTCCACCTAGAGCAGGTTGCAAAGGAACTTGTCCAGGTATGCTTTGAATGTCTCCAGAGACGGAGACTCTACCACCTCCTTGGGCAGCCTGTTCCAGTGCTCTGCCACCCTCAAAATGAACAAGTTCCTCCTCATGTTTAGGTGGAACTTCTTATGTTCAAGACGTAAGTGTAATCATGTGCAAAGAGACTCTGCTAACAAGGTATATGCAGCGTAAAAGTAGAAAGCAATTATTTTGGGCACATGCTGGGATGTAGTGATGTATCCTAAGTGTGCCCACACGTCTGTGAGACACCTAAAGAGTTTTTGCTGGCCAGATGGACATCAGTCAGGAGGAGAAAGGTTGGTATCTGCTGTTCTCTGGAATGAATTGTCCATGACAACACATGCTGAAGCCACTGGCACCATCAAAACTGGCTGGTTCGCTGCTTTTCCCCTTCAGGAAGTCACACCTTTCCACACTGATATTTTTACGTTTGAATCTTTGAGCCACTAATGATCCTACTTCTCTGAAATTTCACCTTCCTTATCTTGCATAGCTCTGCACTGTAGCTTTTCGTACAGTGCTGTCAACTTATCTGTTTCTGCAGCAATTTGAGTCAAGGATATGCAGCTGCCCCCTATCACAGCTGGGCCTTGAGTCCTTGAAACAGCTGTGGGAGGTGTGGAGGAGGAGAAGGGTGACAGGAGAGAGATGGTCACACGATTTTTCTGAAAAATGAGGCTGACTTCTAGTTGGGAAAACTAGACCTGCAGAAGGAGATTGTTCAAAGCACTACAACTGCCTGTTAAATACGGGGGTGTTTTCCTTTGTAGCTGAAGAGCATTGAAGCTTTCCTCTTAGACAGCCAGCTGTTAATTATAGTCTTCTACAATAAAATCATAACTCAAAATCTCATAGACAAACCCCATAGACAAACCCCAAACTTCCAGAAATGTCGTACTGGATCAGTGCTGTTGGTGTATGGTGTAAAGGAAGGTATCTGATGCATCACCAGAAAGATGTTTTATTTTTAAGTTCTTTTTATATTCAGTGAACTCCCTCACAAGTTTATTGTAAACATGGAAGTGTATATATAAATAAGAGCTTTTGCATTAGTGTCATACAAAGACTTTTGTTCTTTCTATAACTTCTCTTGTTTATCAAACCAGAATACCTAGGTAAACAAAATGTTTGTTTTAGAGTTGTAGTTTTTAATGTCTTAATTTCAAAACCCTTAAACACCAATAGTTGTTGGCTTAAAAATTGGCTCTGATGCTTAGTTCTTCTGTCCTCTTAATTTTTCTTAACTGTCCTAAAATCTATATTATGAATCAATATTGTCTGTAAACTCTAGATGGAGTTAATAGATTTAGTGGAATTACTCATGTATTTTGGTAAGCAGCATGTGATCGATAGTGTAAGAAAGACTAGGAGAGGTCTAGGAAGCCATACTAATAGTGCTAGGAAAAGGTTCAGGATGTTTGTTATGATCTGTTATTGTTTGTTTTGGTAAAGAACAACCAAATGAGAATCTGAAGTAGAATATTGGGTGAGTAAGCAGGAAAAAGAAACTTGAGTGAATTGTTGCTTAACATACTGGAAAGAATCAATGTGAGGAACAGAGGACATAATGAGTAAATTAGAACCAAACTTCTGCGAAGAAAACTGAAGGAAATTGATAGAAATTGGAGTCTGCCAGGGACCTTGAGGCATAGGGTCTGGTGTGCTTCAACCTCATCAGCCCAACTTGCTGCAGTGTGTGGTGCATGGTAGGAGCTTCATTGTTTTTTTTGTTTGCTGTTCGTAACACTGCTGGGG